CCCCTCCTCCTCCTCCTCCTCCTCCTCCCCCCTTCCCCCCCTCCCCCCCCCTCCCCCTCCCCTCCCCCCCCCTCCTCCTCCTCCCTCCTCCTCCTCCTCCTTCTCCTCCTCCTCCTCCTCCTCCTCCTCCTCCGGCCAGGGATCTCGGATGGTCACCTTTCGGCTCCCCCTCCTGCTGAAACGGTGCGTGTCGACAGTCGGGGCAGTCATCCACGCGAAGTGTTCCGGGTGCCTTTTTTGCTTCGAGGCCCACGCCTGGACCCGGAGGAGTTGCACAGGCGAGCCTGTGCTTGGAACGGGCTGGACTCTGAAACGGTCACAGCAATGCCAATGCGGCGAACCCAGTGATTTCGTTCTAGTGTCGTTCGTAAGAAGAATGATGCTGATTTCATGCGCGTGCGCTCGCTACCTGTACACAAACAATGCTACATGTGTTTCTTTTTTCTATCTCCCTCTTTCTCTCTCTCTCTCTATCTCGCTATTTTCCAAACAGTGTTTGCATGTAATAGGTTCCAATTTCTGAGGAACTGGGCCGTGTCTTTGGTCTGGTGGCTGTGTGGCCGCCGTCGCCGCCCCGTCGCCGCCTCGTCGACGCCCGTCGTCTGGGCCTTGTTTTCGGTCAGGCGGCTATGTGGCCGCTGTAACCGCCCCGTCGCCGCCGTGTCGCCGCCCTAGATGGCACCAAAGAGATATCACCGCATATATTGCACCATCAATGTTGCACATCAGATATGCACCACATATATTGCACGACGTAGCACCTCATCTATTGCACCACATGTGTTGCACCACATCAATTGCACCACATCGAGGGCACAACATATTTTCACCTTTCGTAAAAAGGATTTGGACCTACCTCCCCCCTCCCGGGGTTATCTGCCCCCTTTTCGTGTTGCAATTTGCATCTGATTCTACCCTATCGCCCATCCTAAATATGACTTCATACAATCCCAGCCAGGATGGTATCGCCCCCCCCCCCCCCGCCACCCTCTGCAAAACATACAATGCGCGCGCACTCGTTCATCACAAATCATCAGTTTTCAAGAATCCGCGCGCGTCGTCGCGCGCGCCACGAATCTTCGGTTTCGCAAGGGTTTCGATACCGAGTGTCGAAACAACATGTAAACACGTAGTTTCGCAACAAGGTGCTCAAACAAAGCTTGCGCTCGGGCTCTTGTGAATTCTTAAGAACACCATCGGTGCTTCAACACATTCATGGAATTCTGCCAAACGGGCCTCTCGCGCCGCATGCCGAAATGATTCGAGCGCCCTTGCGCGCGTGCTGGGTGGGGGGTGGGGGCACGATCCGTTTCAAATGATACCATGCGGGCCACTCCCGCGCGTCGGCCGCGCGCGCATGTGGAACTCATTTCCAACACCTTCATCACCGACGCGAGGACGCCGCCAGCGTCGTCGGCGTGATCAGCATTGGCGCCGTCACTGGCCGTGCCGTCGTCGTTGTCAACATCGTCGCCAGCATCGCTACTATCAGCATCTAGCCTACCACTATCGACGTTGCCATGATACCGCGCCCGCCCAAGTCCCCGACTCGCACTGAAGTGCCCGCTGGGATGCGCCCAGCAGTCAGCGCCACCGCGGCCCCGTCGGTCGCGCCTTACTAGCTGGCCGTTGCGCTCGCGCATGCGCGGGCTGGCGCGGCCGCGGAGGTGCACCAGCCAACCCTCAGCACTCATCGCAATCGCCTTCGCATGGGTTTGGCAGACCAAGTTGCGGGTGGGTGGGTGGTAGGACTTTGTGGGCCCCGGAAACGGCAGGGCCGTTTTTTCACCGTTTCCAGAAAAATGTCCCTTGAAAATGGAAACGGCAACAAAAACGGCGACTGGAAACGGCAAAAAAACGGCTCCAGGATTGGAACCGGAGCCGGAACCGGTCAAAAAACGGCGACGGAACCGGTAAAACAACGGCGTCGGAACCGGCGAAAAAACGGCAAAACGGAACCGGTAAAAACATTGCCCTGTCGTTTCCAGGGCCCACTAAGTGGCAGGATTGCCAAGTGGAGCAATGGTGACTTGCACCGCGTAGATTGCACCACATAGAGCGCACAACACAGATTGCATCACCAAGGCTGCACCACCTAGGCTGCACCGAGTAGTTATCACAGCGTAGACGGAACCGCAGACATTGCACCAAATGAAATTCACAACACATACTGCGCCACGTAGTGTGCACACCATGTGTTGCAGCACATATGTTGCACAACATATTGCACCACATAGCTCGCACAACACGTATGGCACCACATACGTTGCACCACGTAGGCTGCGCCTGTCCATAGCGTGCACAGCATCTACTGAACCGCGTAGTTTGGACCACATGTATTGCTAAGGCCTTACGGCCAGTGCCGCCGACCCTGGATACCTCGGCCCTCGAGGGTGACGGGATGCGTGATAAGATGTCGGAGGTAAATCAAGACGTGGCGGAGGAGGAGGAGGCGGAGGAGGAGGAGGAGGAGGAAGTGGAGGAGGAGGAGGAGGAGGAGGAGGAGGAGAGGAGCAGAGGAGGAGGAGGAGGAGGAGGAGGAGGAGGGGGGCGGGAAGAGAGGGGGGAGGAGGAGGAGGAGGAGGAGGAGGAGAGAGAGGAAGGGAGGAGGAGAGAGGAGGAGGAGGAGGGAGGAGGAGGAGGACGAGGAGGAGGAGGAGGAGGAGGAGGAGGAGGAGGAGAGGAGTAGGAGGGGGAGGAGGGGGAGGAGGAGGAGGAGGAGGAGGAGGAGGAGGAGGAGGAGGAGGAGTTGGGCACCATCGGGAACTCACTTTTTTCGGCCGCCTTGGGCTCCTCTGGTGGGCATCTTTGAGCCCTCTTAGGCCGTCTTGGTGGGCCTCTTGGGCCGTTTTGCGGCTGTCTTGAGAGCCTCTTGAGCATTCTTGTGCCATCTTGAGCCGTCTTGGAGCCGTTCTGGTGACGTCTTGGCTGCCCTGGGAGCCGTCCTGGAGGCCACCTTGGCCGGCTGGAGGGCGAACAGCTCGCCGGGCAGCAGTTTCCAGGGGGGACGATCGCAGAGCTGCGCGTGCGGCGAGGGGGGGGCGGCCCCGGAAGACTAAAGGAGCCTCCCAGACAGCAGCACGCATGCTAACACGCCCACTGGGCACGAGGCCAGGTGGCGGAGTGCACAACATGCAGCGGGCGCCCATGCCAAGAAGCACCCTGCTTGCCTCCAGGGTGCCCTGGTGTACTCGGGTTTCGATGGTTTTGCTCTGGGAAGCGTGGCGTTCCCACACCAAAAATCAATGTGGTCTCAGGGGTTGGGTTTCTTGTGGCAGGTTTCTTGTGGTCGAGCTCCTACTGTAGTTTGCACTATATATATATATATATACATGCACATAGTGCACAACGTAGGGTGCACAGTATGTCTTGCACCACGTAGATTGCACCACCCAGATTGCAGCACATATTTAGCTCCACAAGTATTGCATCACGTCTATTGCGCACCATCGGTTGCACCGCATATGCTGTACCACGTCGATTGTACCACACATATTGCACCATGGCGGTTGCACCAGGTAGATTGCGCACCACATATATTGCACCACATAGATGTACCACATATAGTGTATATCGTAGCTTGCATAACACATATCGTACCACGTAGATTGTTAAACACGTATTGCACAAAGTATATGGGTATACAAGTATCACACAACATACATACAACTGACCCCAGTGCGCAACCCACACTGCACACCACATATTGCACCACGTACATTGTACCACCCTTGTTGCCCCACATAGATGCACAGCACATGCTGCTAGAAACACGCCTGGCTAACACACACATATGTACATATACGCACATACATTTACACACGGTATGCATATATCTATACATATATATAGTTATGTACACGTGTATACGGTCTGTACATGTATGCACATACGCGTATTTGCGGGTATCTACGCTTGCATGTGCGTATATGTGTGTGCATGTGTACAGTGCGTTTCAGACTTGCACCAGTACCACACCCGTGCCACTTCCACTCGATATCTCAGCTCTGTCCCTGTCTCTGCCCTTGTGCCAGTGCCTCTGTCTCCGTCTCTGTCGCTTCCTCTCTCTCTCTCTCTCTCGCTGCTCCTTCCTCTCCCTCCCTCTCGCTCTCCCTCCCCGCCTTTCCCTCCCTCTCTTGCTGCCCCTCTCTCTCTCTCTCCCTGTCTCGCTCGGCCCCTCCCTCGCCTCTCTGCCCCTCCCTCCTTGCCTCTCTCTCTCCGGGGGCCGGGCTGCCCCTGCACGACGGCCCGTGGTCGACGCACCGCGCGATCGGCGCACGCCGCCGTCGGACGCCCTCGTCGGCCCTCCTCGGGGGCTCCTCGCCTCGGCGCGCCCTCTCCTGCGGCCCCCGCGCGCCCCGCCGGGGAGCGCTCCCGGGGTGCTCCTCCTCCTCCTCCTCCTCCTCCTCCTCCTCCTCCTCCTCCTCCTCCTCCCCAGCTCACCAATAACCAGCCTCGAACTTATCCCTATCCCTAAGATGGGCGAGCAAAAAGCGAGGACAACATTAGGGATAGGCCCTCAGAAACTGAGGGAGCCCTTGAGATCGGCATCGAGGTGAGGTGGCCGTCCCGAGCGGCCGTCGGGGGCCCCCGAACGGGGCGGTGACCACACCGCGTGGCGAGTCGGTGGGGCTTCGGGGTCACCGCGCGGTTTTGGGACTGGGGTCGTTCTCCGAGGACGTCTCGGGCGGCTGGAGCCTCCAGGGTCCCAAAACCGTGCGGTGACGGACCGTGCGGTGAGGTCTCTCGGGGTTCCGAGGTCACCGCACGGTCTGTCACCGCACGGTCTTGGGATCCCCAAGGCTGCCGGAGGCCTGGGTGTCAGTCAACCCGCATGGCAAGGATGGGCGAGCTTCCCGAGGCTACCCTGGCATCCTCGCCTCCTCGGTCCATCCCTGGCCGCCTTCGTTGGCCGCGCCCCGCTCGCAAAGTGTCAGCACGGCCTTCCAAGGCCCTTGCATCCTTATCGTGCATCCTTATGATACGGGTCGACTGTATGACTGGAGCATGCCCGAGAAGCGAGAGGCCCCCAGAAGAGGAGGGCACCCCGCAGCTGCCAGAGGCCAGTCGGCGACTGAAGGAGCAAAGGCAAGCCCGCCCCAGACAGGCTGCAGGTGGTGCGTGCCTCTTGCTCGTCCTCCCGACTGAGCATCGAGGCTCGCAGCGTTCGTCCGCCTTCTCCTCCTCCTCCTCCTCCTCCTTCCCTCCCTCCTCTTCCCTCGTTCTCTCTCTCTCTCTCTGGCCATTCCGCCGTGCCTCCCGCCGCCTCCATCCGCCAACCTCCGTCCCCTCCCCCTTCCCCCTTCCCATCCCGTCTGGGCGGCGCCGGCGGGCTGCGCGGGCCGGGAGATCTCGCTCGAGAAGTTCGACGGGATGAAGTGGTGGAGCTGCGTGATGGAGGGCGACCCAGGCGGCTCCGGCTGCGTCGAGCTTTTTCTGGTTTCGCTAGGGGAACGAACAATGCCATAAACATACAAAAACTCGCAGGTCGGCGCGGATTTCTCGGATCGGCGCTGTACCGCCCTGGCGGCGCCTCCAGCGCCGCCCCTGGCGCGCTCCGCGCGCCAGAGAGGGGGGTCCAGCGCGGATCCAAGAAATCCGCGCGGACTTCCGAGTTTTTATGTTTATGTTATTTTTAGTTCCCCCATTCATTCGGTGAGCTCGACGCGTCCGTGGCGTATCGAGGGTCGCCCCCCCTTCCCCCCATCTCCGTAGCCGTATTCAACTTACGCGGGCCCACCGCGTCGTCGTCGTCGTCGTCTTCGTCGCCGTCGTCGTCGTCGTGGTCGTCGTCGGCCGCGGCGTCGACTGCGGCATCGTCGTCGTCGGCGGCGGCGTCGGCCGCAGCGTCGTCGTCGTCGTCGTCGTCGTCGTCGTCGTCGTCGTCGTCGTCGTCGTTGTCGTCGTCGTCGTCGTCGTCGTCGTCGTCTGTGTGTTTGCCGTTCTCCTAGCGGGCCTGGCGCGGTGCTCACTGGAGTGCTGTGGTGCTCAAGGGCAATGCTCTGGTGCTCACAGGCATATGCTTTGCGGCACTCGCAGGCCCTCGCCGCCCCCCGTAGCAGACGCCACGGCGCAGAGGCCATCTCTTCCCCTTGTTGGGGGCAGCGGCTGGGGAGGAGGCCTGGGAAGGCGCCAAGAGATTTGTACAGTCGGGCTGAGGTATAAGATAGGGGTCGGTTTGGAGAGGATACCCTGGTGTTCTTCGTGCCTGTGGGATGTTCTTGTACATCCTGGGGAGGGTACCTTTGGATGTTCTGTGTGTTTTGGCCGGCGGAGGGTCTCCTGTTTTTGGAGGATGTTCTTCTGGCCTAGGGCCGACTGTAGCAATCCTGGATAATGCCTCAGGGTGTCAGAGGAATTCGTCGGATTGCTTAGGAAGTGATCATGCTTTCCATAGGATTGTTCAGGAAGACACGCAGTCCTTTGGGGGGGGGCCTTAGGTCGAAAAGATTGAATCGGACGATGTCTGGGTCGGGGGGATGGGGCTTCTTCTCCCGGACCCCTGTGTCGTTGCGAAATTTCGTGACAGAGGGTTCTTGGCCATTTTCGGCCTCTGGGGGCCCTCACTGGGCCCAGAGACCGTCGCGAAACGACCTGGCATGAAAAACTGGTCCTGTGGTTGGGATCCAGACCTCAGGGGTCGACATTTTTCAGGAGGAAAAGAAACACACAGACACAATTAACCGTCGATTCCCAGGAAAATATAGGAAAATAGGGGAAGTGGGTTGGAAGACAAAAACCCAGAAAATATGTGAAAATATGGGGCACATTTTTATTTGTGTCAATTTATTTGTGTGTCCTGGGGCCCCTTCAATTTTTGCAGGGCCAACGACAGGGGGGAATATAGGCGCATGGTGGCATGCATCGACCCCAACCGCCCGTGGATCATCGATGTGGGGCCCGATAGCCCCCCCCCCACCCAGGAGCGTGCGGATCCACTATCGGGGGCCCATCGCCGATCCATCGGCGACGCATCGCCGAGTCCACCCCTATGCCAGGAGCTCGGGGCTCGGGCCGACCAGCCAAGGAGCGGATCGGCCTGGGCCCAACAATTCCTCGGAAGGGCCTGACAAGGTTTCGGGCCCCCCACACCCTCCACCTGGCCACTCGCCAGGTCCGAGCCAGCCCATTATAAGGGCCACTGCACGTCGGCACCGACAAGACGCAGAGTTCCACCACCACACCCTATGCCAGGTCCCCCCTTCTCACTGCCCCTCAGTCGTGAAAGGATCACGGCGTCGGAGGTCTGTTTCCTGCCAGGGGCAAAGAACGTCCGGGGGGGGGGCCTGGGGATGCCAACTGGGGGGCCCTCGCGTCGACGAGATCGAGGGCGGCGGATGTCCGCGTCGTCCAGGAGGGGGAGGAGGAGGAGGAGGAGGAGGAGGAGGAGGAGGAGGAGGAGGAGGAGGAGGAGGAGGAGGAGGAGCGACTCGGCGCCACGTGCAGAGCAGCGTATGGGGGGAGGGGTGAAGGCATCTTGCAGAAGCGCCCCTGCTTCTCGGGAGTCGCGGGTCTCGTCTGTAGAGGCAGGCGCCTTCTGAGGAGCGGCCTGCTTCTGAGCAGCCTCCCCCCCCTCTTCCTGCGCCCCTCTGCGCGCCGCCACCTTTTGGCGCTTTGTAAGAGGGTCTTGAAACTGTACGGATCTATCCTTAAGTCGGGCATGTCCCTTTGAATGAAAAATAGCCAAACATAGTATGGGGATGATTTGGATGGTTTATTTTTTGGTGTGCGTGTTTTTTCAGACTTTTTTTTTCAGTTTTGTTCTTTCAATACCCGCCTGTAGGAGGACATGCCCGACCTACATCTATCCCAGAACAGCGAATCTATCCCCAGTGCACGAAGAAGCGGCGCCCCAGCGCCATCTCTCAGCCCCTCGCGCGGCCGCCCACCTGGGCGAACCGGGAGTCGCCTCGCCTCGCCTCGCCCTGCTACCATGTGCGCGCCGCCAAGCGACGGGGGGTCTGGCCCAGGCGGGAGAGACATCGACCCGCAAAGCCGCCCGCTCGTCGCCGACGGGGAGGAGGAGGAGGAGGAGGAGGAGGAGTCGGAAGAGGAGGAGGAGGAGGAGGAGGA